GAATTAATATATTTCAAATATACAAAAAATATAAAAACAACTGATGTTAAAAACTGATACATTTATACTATTAGTATTTTTATGCCATTTTTTAATTTTTTTTTAAAGAAATGTAAAGATGTTTTGAATAGAAATGCAAGTTTGCATATTATATATTATAAATATAATAAATATCATAAATCACGGAAACCACAATCTTCGTGTCATGCTTTTTTAGGTGAGAGTCTATTCCAAACCAAGAACGAAGCTTAACACTGAGATATACAAAAATGACACTTGATTAATGACCACTCAATATCTGTCGATGAACATAATTTCTTTCGCTCTATGTACATGTCTACTAAACTAAAAAACATGTTACTTTTTAATTAAAATTTATAATTTGTAGCAAAAGTACTCTCTTACATAAAACATATACATAAAAATGATATATGTATATATAAAACTTATCATTTCCATTTCACATTATTGATTATATAAAAACAAGAGATTATGAATTATTCCGAATCTTGAAGAAAATTTTAAAGCAACAAGTCGTAAATTTACATATCATAAATATCATTGAAAGCAACTTATCATAAAATTATTTTTTGCGTGAGAACGTAAAGAAAATTAAAAAGTTTCTTTTGCCATATTCATCTCGCAATTTTATTATTGCTGCAAAGTGCTTAATGCATTTGCAGTTGACCGGAAAATTGATAAGTTCAAAATGAAATCTAATGCAGTATACGTACTTATTTTTCTTATATGTATACACGGTTGAGTAAAGTTCGACTAAGTGATAAATCGTGTTGCCCCAAAAATATAATTTATCGCACCGAGCTACATCGAGCCGCTAAAGCGCACCAGTTTATTCAAGAATCTTTTTTTGTACTTTTTTCAATTAGTCCACTGTAAATCGCTCAGAGATAAATGTGCCAAATTTATTATTTTCACACCCGACAATTACATGTGATATAAAGCAGATTAATTTTATTGCAAATGCATCAGTAAATTCATTGTTGAAACACGAATACTTGAACAAGGTTAATTTTGTTTCAGTTTTTTTCCATATACTCATCCAACGACTTATATAAATCCATCTCTAAATTACATGAAAATTTTTAATTGTTTCAAAGAATATAATACAAAAATTGAATGTTATGTTATTCGAATGTAAATCTCAAATGTAACATGGAAATATTCAATATAAATAATATAAATATAATCATGTAATATATAAAAATTACAATCATTTTCTACAATCGTCATTTTAACATTTTAAGGTTTCTGTTCATTCATCGCTACTCAGATTATGACAGATCAGAAATGAAAAAAATACACAATAAAAAGTTTTTGCAGCGTATATTAAAAAGAAAATATATTTTAAAACAAAAATTTAAAAGAAAACAAAATTTTAAAAGAAAGTATATTTTAATCGATAAAAGCAACTTGTAACATAAAACTCTCCTTTTATTTCATATAATTAATAATTATATATCTGAAAATAAATTGCATAATTAAAAAAAAATAAGTTAAATTCACAACTATAACAACTATCAAATTAATAATATATAAAAATAAATAATTTAATCTCTTTCTCGAAACAAAAAAACAATTTTTGATATATTTTATCGATTGTATTAATTGCAAATATTGTTTGTTTTATTGAAAAATATTTCTATTTAAACATATTTTACAAAATTTTTATTGTGTTTTTTCGTTTCTGATGTCACAATCTGAGGTAGAACGAGTAAATAGGAGTCTTAGTAGTATTTTTTCTTGTCTTCATC